TGCAGAGCTGGCTCAAATGTCTGCAGTCGTGAAATGTAAATAACACATGTTTCAGAAATGTAATTCTGAAATTCTGCTGTGAAACACTCCACAAAACTTTGACCTCATGGAAAAGAGCAGGGGTGAAACCCAAAACTACTTGAATGAATGGAAGATTTATATGTTTGCCATTTTTTTTTCCAAAATTAGGTTTCTTTGTCCTTTGGTTATGTTGCCACCCATAAAAATATAAAGTTTCTTTTTTGTTTTTTTTTTTCCTTTATGTAGACCTAAAGCTTTATGTATCTCCTTACAAAATAATAGCTGTCTTACTTGTCAAGTTGGGCTGTTGCATTTTGGGCCTATTTGTTTAGAATTTCTCCCTTTTTCTTTTAGGGGGGCTTGGAAAAGCTGAGAATCCATGTCCCCACCACACTAAGGTGTCTTCCTTCCCTTTCAGCAAATCTTTGTTGTTCAGCCCAGCATTTCTGAATCTGTTAGAGCCAGTTGTATAATTCACAATACTGAAGTGGACAAACAGCATTGGTTTATGTTAATGGCATAAGTGTTAAGCAGTTCTCTGTATTTCACAGTACAGGACACATCTTCCCACCCAAAACCTTAGACTAGCAGAGCCACCTCAAAAGTCAGAAACCTCCTGATGTACAAGACAGAGCTTTCACATGTGTGTCTTCCATCATTTTAGTTTAACACATTTAAAAATTTCATTAGTACTTGTTAAAATGAAAGCTCAAGTGGTAAAAAAGCCATTACCTCGGTACATGGTGATTTAAGCAATGGATGCCAAAAGCTTTCTTTTTTTCTGAGCATGTAAACCTGCACAGGAGGAAATTTGAAACACCTGTTTTAGACATGAGTGAAAGTGATTCTGTCTGTAATTTTCACCTGTTGCCATTCCTCAATGTCTTCTCTAAATATTCTTTACAAGTGTTTACAGTTTGTGTGAATGATGCTCCTATTCCTTTAAAGCCTTTGATGGAAATTCTGATCAGTCACATCAGCTGTGAAGGGCTGAACTGGCCAACTGTGGCAAGAGCTTTTGATCTTCCCAACAGTCACCAAATAATCTCCCATCAGTGAAAGCTTTTTATAGATTTGTTTCTCTTATCCCCACCTGACTGCCTCTCTAACTTTATTCAACACAGAGCTGAAGTCTTAAATTTTAGTGTAACCCAAGGAGGAAAGGAGCTGCAGACATAAGGATTTTTATCACTAATTTTATGAAATATTCAAGAGCAGGAGCTGAAGGTTCAGGCCAAAACATCATCTTCATTACATATTCATTAGAAAGACCTTACTCTATTTTCACTGCTTCAAAATACTGCAGTACAGGATCAGCCATACAGACCTTCCCACAGACATAGTGGCATGCAGTGACAGCACTATATATAAAATTCTGAGGGTTTACACCATGAAAGTATCAGTTGAAAACAGTAGTTCCCTCTTCAACAGATTTAAAGGCTTAAATCTCTTGAAGATGTAGTTTTACATCTCTGTTCATATAAGTCAAACAAGTTGCTAGTAATCTGTGCTTGCCAATATTGTGATTTTATTATAAATCAGACATTATAGCATTTGGCTTCTTTTCAATTGATTGGAATGACATATTCTCCTTCAGTGTTAATTAAAGCAAGAGCTCCAAGATCTAAAAGATAAGACTATAATACTTCAGTACGTTCCCTCTAAAATGCCTTCTATATGATTTTTTAGCTACACAGAGATTTCAAACGGAAACATCAAACAGTTCTAACTTGTAAAGTGTAGGAATTTTAGGTCTCTGAATGCTTTTTCTTATGGGATACCTCCTTTTAGAACTTAAAAAATAATTTATCTATCCATTATCAGAAAATTTATATAAGTTTTGTTTAAATAAAAGTAAAACATTCTGTTCAGCTCATTTTCTCAGCATTAGAGATCTGCTGGGGTAAACAAAGAGAACATTCTGGAGCAGAGCTGGCCCAGCCAAAATAGTCACCCCTCTCTCTCTATCACTTGTAGTTTAAGGAAAAGGTTTAATGAAGGAGGAATCTCACAGTACATTTCTTTCTTTATTCTTGAAATCACATCCAGATTTTATCTCACATTGTAGCTCAGTATCCTCATGCTGCCAGTCCAGGAGAGTTAACTAATCTATTGATAACAATGTTTTACAGATTTCTTGGTGAAAAAACCTCCAAAGATAAGTTTTAAACTGAATAGTTATCACTTCCTGCATTAAACTCTTGCTACTATTCAATTTAGAAGAATATCATGCATTCTGAATACAGTTAGTATATTCTAAAGCTTCCTTATGTCAGGATAGCTTGTACCTGTAAAAAAAAAGTTTATCAGTGTAGTGGCAGAAAGACTTTTTTAGAACATTTTCTGTTTCAAAGAGAAAAATAATATATAATTAAAAGTTTGAAAGGGAGTAAAAACTGTGCACTGATGACATTGAAAATCTCTGTAATGGGGAACAGCCCAAGCCAAATTATGCAGATGCCATCATGCAATTATACTGTAAGAGAAAATAGGGAGAAAATTGTGTAGAATTTCCAAGCCAGTGGAAATACCCCACACACTTCTTTCCTTCTCACCATCATTGTATTATTATAATTTTAAAAACCAGTTTATGCTACAAACACCTTAAAGGTTAGAAACTACATTCATTTCTATTCAGGATGTGGGAGAACAAGGTATAATTGTTTTTCTTTACAGATGGGTCTCAACTTGAGTGAATGGGACTTAAAACCCTCTCCTAACTTTCACGTGTTCTATTTGCTAATTTAGGTGATTGCCTCAGCATGTCAAGCATTTATGATATCCGTGAAAAGAGTAGGCTGGAGTGGGACTGCAAAATGGGGTTGAAATTCTTTTTTTGCCTCTCTCTGGGTGTGGGTTTTGAGCCACCAAGACCAGGCAGGAAAGGTGCTTCAGGGGAAGGGCAAGGACGGGGTCATGCAGACATGTGCATGCACCTGAGCGCTGTGGTCTGGTGCCTGTTTGCAGGTGTGTAATGTTCCCCAAGGCTTGCAGAAGGTGTGTGGAGGTGTGTGGTGCTCCCCAAGGCTTGCAGAAGCTGTTTGCAGGTGTGTAATGTTCCCCAAGGCTTGCAGAAGGTGTGTGGTGCTCACCAAGGCTTTCAGAAGGTGTTTGCAGGTGTGTAATGTTCCCCAAGGCTTGCAGAAGGTGCTGTGGTGTCCCAGTGCCATAGCCTTGGTGGCAGCAGGAGGGCAAGCACAGCCTCCATGGAGCCAGCCCCAGGCACTGCAGGGAGCCCATGGAGCTGGGCTGTTTGCCATGCCTGATCCCCATAACAGCACAGGGAAGTGCCTGCAAGCTGGAGCAGGGATGGCTGCTCTGAATAGATTGTGATAAGGAATGTGGAGGAATAAGTTAGGTCACCTGCTGAGCTGTCCCTCTGCAGCAGGCTGCTGGCTGGCTGATAAAACAGGGAGCACAGTTGCAATTTGTTGAAGACAATGTTCTAAGGCTTTCAAGAAATGCAAGGCAACAGGCTTCAAAAAGCCACCTATTAAAAGAAAAGAAGTCTAATTTCTTGGGGTCTGAGGAAAGATATGGCCTGATATTGTTTGTTTTGCATGTCAATTAAATTCTGATTTCTCTAGCTGACCAAGCACCTTCATCTCACATAATTTCAGCTTGGTTGAGACTGATCAAATAACTTAGGAAATAAGTTCAGTAGATTTGGGGGAGTTTGATAGAAAAAGGAAACCACATGGAGCCTAAAGTGTATTAGATATTGCTTCTGTATTGTAACACTTTCTGGTCTGCCAAGAACAATGTCTGACAGATTTTTCTATACCCATGGCTCCTATACCTGGTCCTGCTGTGATGCAGGAAAATCTCACTTATTTAAACCTTTGATAGCTAATTTTCTATTTTCCCTTCTATCTCTTCTGTACTTTGACAACCTGCATGATGCTTATTAAGAACCTTGAAAGTGGTACCATCTTTTTTTCATAAGTTTCTGTTAAAAAAAAGCAATGGAAGTATTTCTGCACATAATTGTTTACCAGTCTATCCTTTCAGCATTTTCCTTTACTTTGCCACTCCTTTTGAGAGGTCTTTTTCTCTGTTTTATTGAACCAAATCACCTTCTTCCTGGCACATCAAAAGCACAGAGTACCCCTCTACTTCTCCTTTTAGACACAAAGACAGTGTGAAAAGACTATCTGATTTTTAGTGCAAAATACACAAACTTCACTTACTCTTGATGGCATTAACAAAAAAAAAATTAACAGAAAAACACTTTGACAGGGTTTTGGATTGGGCAAAATGAAAACTTCTGAAGAATTAATGGTTTTGTCTGCTGCTAGTTTTACTAGTATGAAAAAGTTGCAAATGAGCATGAAAGTGTCCAAAAGTAATACATTAAACACACCACCCAACTGCTCACTCCTTGCTGAAGATATAGTGAGTGTCTGCAGACTTCACACATCATTCATGTTTATCACTTATGCAGCAGGACAGCCTTATTTATGCACTGGAACAGCTGTTTATGAGAATTTCACATCTTTCATAATGTTTATTTGCCTTTCACCATGGCTTCCAAGCTCTTTCAACATAAAATTAGTAGGAAAACCTAAGCCTGTACAAGAGCTTCTCTGTCTCTTCTACATTTGTTTTCTTAGGTGTTTAAAATATTTTTGTTAGACTTATTCTATTTTGAAAAGTGTCAGTTTTGGGTAAACATGTAATAAAGTTACAAATGTTACAGGAAAAGCTTTTCCCAGACAGAAAACAAGCAGAAAAATAAAATAGTTAGAATGTTTAGAGAAGTCTACAAAACTTAGTTTAAATTCCTGAATTCTGTAGAAGTATAATAGTTGTTTTTAAAACTTACATTGCTACAAAAACTTTATCAGGGATACAAAAGGCTATTTTATGGAGTTGTACAAAACCTTTATAAAATTTTTTTTTTCAATTATGACTAGCAAACCAATATTCTGTTCACTTACTGCATGGCTTTGTTTTGCCTTTCTTTTCCTGTCAAACAGGTGTGTTTTATGAAGTTGTTCAGAGCTTCCCTCGAGTGGAGGAGAATGTGGAGGTGGATTCATATGTAAGCAGCCACAGGTGGAGAAGGCACACAGAGTCCCTCAAATCAGTGGACACCAACAGAGCCAGCATGGGGCAGGATTCCTTGGAGCCAGGGGGTTTCACAGACCTGCTGCTTGAAGAGGGACATGACAACACTACACAGATTGAGGTAGATATTCATTTTATTGTCTTTGATTGGGGGTAAATAAAAAATTACGACACTTCCTTCAGGGTATTCAAATACTTGTGGGTAAGAGTACCTCTGGTCTTTGTATTTGTGAGCCCATGAGCACATGGAAGCTGGAGTTCTCTATTGTCCTGAGGCTGCAGCCTGTCCTCTATGACTTTTGAAGATAGTCTCCTGAGGATGTTTGCTTTTTTTGCTGGAAAACAGTTAAGTGAAGCATGTTTTAGCAGTTCTTGCTGGAATGCTGGAAAAGGAAATAGTATTAAAGTAGAATAAAATTGAATTATTTTCTGAAGTTGATGTAAACAACTCAATTTGTGAGATTTTGCCTGATCTTTCTGGAGAGTGATATCCAGTCACAATGGGGAAAAGACCCTAGAGAAATGAGAAATTGGGAGAAAATTCAGGTTTGGCATTGAAAAAAAATTGCATACTATCTGATTTTTACAAAAAATAAGATTGATTGAATCCATCTGTGTGAAGTCTTGGGACATTCTCCCTCTGTCTTATTGTGTCACTCAACCTCTAATTTCTTGTTTAGCTGCCAGTTAGCTCTCTGTCCTGTCTTCTTTGGTTCTTTTATTCTTGTTGTTGTGGTGGTAGTTTTTTTAAGTATTGAGCTAGAGGTTTTGTTATTAATAAATTCTACATCCTGTTTTTCAATCAAATACAGCTTGGAATAAACTACACTTAACATCTTCCAGTCATTATAATCTGCTTTCAAAACAACAGTGTTGGATTTTTAATTTTTTTTTTTTTCAGTTCCAAGAAGCTCACTCTCAGAGGAAAAAAAAAGCAGCTTTCAGATTTTCGGTTGTTACTTACACAAAAAAAAAACCACCAATGCAATATAAAACCCATCTGTAGAAAAAATGGTGTCTCTACTGCATGAGCAAAAAAATAGTGCTTTCAGAGAGGTGTGTTTTGTGCTTGTTGTTTTTAAGGTTCCCACTTTGCACAGCACTAATTACATTTCCTCTTGTACTAACATGAAAATCACTGGTTGGTAAATTGTAGTTTTGAATTTCATGTTGATTTTTTTAACTTCCTTTTTGCTTGGTGTAATCCCCATCTGCCCATACTTGTAGCGATTCTTTTGGGCTACAACACAGATCAATTTTACTTCTAGTTATTTTAGCAGATAAAGTGCAAGCTGTCTCAGGTACAGGGAAGTTTTAGTAGCTGATCTTTCCATGGCTTACCTGTAGATTCCTATGCAGTGTTTCCATTCAGTTGGGTTCCAAGCTCTTATGGAGTGAAATGGTCAGATGTCCCTCTCTAACACTTGCAAATAGCAAGACTTTGGGGAAAAAAAACATGTATGCTTGCAAATGGATATACACAGAATGGTATTTTTCCAGGAACGTTTTTCCTGACAGATTAATGCCTTTACAGTGTCTTAACCTGAGAAGTTTATTGAATTCAGGTTTTGTGTTCTGTTGTAAACCTCTTTTTTCTAAGGTCTTTTCAGCACAATAAGTTAATGGAGTTGTGGTTTTACACATTATTGGATTCCATTGAAAATCCCCACTACAACATGCAGGCATCTCACAAAAAACCCCTTGATGCCTGGCCTTATAGAGGAGGTAGAGTATACAACAGAAATCCACAGAGGAAGAATCCATATGTTGCAGTCTTCTGCAGCTTGGCAGCTTATCAGCAGTGCTGGAGAGCTTATTGATTATTTTAAATCCTTGCTCTGTGTACATTGCAGTGCTTGCTAAAGGAAATCCAGAGAATGAGTATTACCTGCCACTTACATTTAGTGATGCTACAGAATGATGACATCCCTCCTTTACAGATACTGTTTTCTCTAAAGTATTTTTTAGGCTCACCATGCAATGCAGACTTTTTTAATATGAAGACTGACAATAATGAACATGTTTTCAATTAATAGTATTTGCTGTCCTTCTTTATAATGATGAGTTTACTTTTTCTCCAGCTTTAGAAACCCAAGCCTTTACTCCCTCTCTCACCTCTATTCCTCCATGCAAAAAAACCCAAACTGAAACAAAAACAACAAAACCAAACAAAAATAAATGAAAAAAAAATCTAAAACCAAAACTGCCAAGGAAAAAATGGAAGATAGTAACCAGAAATTTCTGGAAACTGTTAAAAATTAAATATTTCTTGAGTTATCAATCCATACAGTCATAAGGTGAAAAATTATAAAATCAAACCTGTATGGGGTACAGCTTAGTTCCACTGGATTTCCTTTTACTTTAAGGTAATGACACTTTTGATTAATTTTTTTCCCATTAGAGTTACTGGAATTGTTCTATAACTTCACAGATTCACCATGCTGGATCAGCCATCAGCCCTGATCCAGAGGTTATTTTAATATCACCTTGAGTGATTTTAGCATCAGCATGAAGTGCAGATCTTCCAAAGCTCTGAATACAAGTGCACTGTAAAATGGTCACACCTTTCCAGTAGTCAGGGTGGACCTCCTCCTATGCACAGGAAAGACTGTGAGATTCTCTTTAGGGTGCAGCCTCTCTGGTCTAAAAATGGAGAAGTGTAGCCACCAGGGAGCCCAGGTGTTTCTCTTCACATCTCTGTTTTGTCTCCTGTGTTTGTTTGGCACTGTGATTCAGGAAAGGACTCATACAAAATTATATACACGTTCATGTGCTTTTTTTAAAGTAAAGATGTTCTCTTGAACTGGTCTTGAACTAAATTGCAGAGACTAGCAGAAGCAGTGGTTATAACCATTTGATGTGCTGGGCCTTCAGAGATGAGCAGAGAAAAGAGCCTTGGGAAGAAGATGATAAGACCTCCAAGTCCCATTGTGATGCTGGAGAATAGAAATGTTGTGGTCCACAGGTGCAGTGTTGTGGTGGGACAAACCCACAAAGATGGATGTTGCCAAAAGAAAAGCAAAGGACATCAAGTTTCTGCTGCAAGCCCAATTGGAGCCCTGATAGTTTTTAACTTAAAACAGTACTGTTTTAAGAGTGTTATATATTAATTTTACCCTATAATTTAGTTACTATCTGAAAGTACTCCTCCTACTTTAGAAGGATTATTATGGTGTGCCAATTAGAGATTATAATGTTGCAAGACCAAAAAGCCTCCCAAGGATGGAGGTTAGTCCCATTTGCTTTATTTGTAATTGGTACCCTAGAGCTCAAAGGAAGAGGAGGGTCATATTATATAAGAAACTTATTACATTTTTATTTCCATTATATCAAATAGCTAAAGTGAGAGAGAGAAAGCTCTGAAGAAGGAAAAAATAGTGGCATAAAAAGAGTGAGATCCCAGCTTATACAGATGGGTGCAAATGTTAGAGTCTGAGAGAAATCCCCAAAACAGATGGCCTTGGACAGTAAAGAAATATGCTGTCAGCCATCTAAACCAACTGTAAGGGGCAGCCCAAAAATACAGGATTCTGGTGATGCATTGCAACAAGTTGTCTTATTGACCTTGTGGCAAATGAGAGTTTCAGAGAGTCTCTATTGAAGATAGGAGCATCCATGGCTAAGCCATATCTTGAGGGTCACAAAGCCAAACTTTAAAGCCTTCTTCCTGGAATAACTTTGGGACTGTCAGAATTCTTCTTTCTAAAGAGTTTGTTTCTCAAATTTCTGGGATTTCATAATATAATGATTCCAAGCCTAGCTTTCCTTTTTTTTTTTCCCCCTCCCCTCTTTCTTAAGATTCTTTTCTCCTGTTTTGAGGGTCAGGGTTGTTTTGGGATTTTGCTTACTGCTTTTGTTTACTGTGCTCAGGACGTTTAGAAGTGCCTTTTACTTATGATAAATAGAGCTTAGGAAATGCAACGTGTCAGGTGGAATTTGTTGCTGCAAACACTGTAAGTCCTTGTAAAAGCAGTGAGTGTGAAAATACATCTTCATGAATATGTCTACCTTGGCATGTCTTCTTTCAAGAAAGGAGAAAAATAAGACAAATATACCACCTTTCTTCATATACTCTTGTAAATGAAAAGTATAATCACTCACTTTTATAAAGTAGATTAGTATTAATATTGTTAAAATGAACTCAGCTTCATGGTGATGATGTGACCAGTTGATCTATTAATCCCCAAAGCCCAGTGTCCATACAGATAATGAAGGTGGATATCAGAGGTTCTTGTTGCCTGCTCATTTTTGCATTACTGAGAAAGAAGCTGATCTCTGAAATGAATCTTGTATGGATGCTGGTTCCCCAGTATGCACCACTGAAGAATCCACAAATGCATTCCTGTTTTGCCATAGGACTTGCTTATGCAGGTCTGGCTACTGAGCACTGAAAAAGGCTTAATAATGCAATAATACACAGGTAATGCATTAATATGCAATTGTGCATTGCACAACTGTTGCATGATAATTTTTCCATAGTTTAAAATAAATTTTCAAGTGATTTCCTATGTTTTTTGGCTGTATGTAGCTCCATACAGAACAGATTTTCCCTCTGTATGTATAGCTTTGGTCTCTTTATCACAGATCTTCCTTGTGACTGCAGTCACACCAGTGCAGGGTCAAACATCAGGAAAAATACAGAGAAATTGACTTGGAGAAGTCTCTGTTATATAGCTTGCATTGGCATGAGCAGAAGGTGAAAAACTTTGCAAAATATCTTTAAATCATGTGAATGACTTTCAGATTTGTTCCCACTGTATAGAGATACTACATCAAAACAATAGTCTTTCACAAACTTCAAATATCAAAAATAAATCCAGCAATAAAATAATAGATTAAATCATAGTCAAGCCTGAGCTGAGTGCAGTAAAGTTTTATTGCTTTGCACCAGCAAAAATGTGAGGAAAAAACATAATTTTTCACATAAGGTCTTAGAACAGAATGAATGATTGCTGCTGTTTGACAGAAGAAGATTCAGTTCTGAGCAAAAACCAGCATGCTGAGCATGCTAAATCAAACCAAACTCTAACTGTATCTTATTTTCTCCACCCCACCTAACATATTACTTGGAAGTATAGAAAATTGTGGCTATTTCAGTGCAAAATATTTTTTTCTGTATTG